ACTTATTTACTTACCCCTAGCTAATACTAACCCCAATTATAATATTTTGGCTGTAGGTTACACGAATTTAATAATAAATTTTCCTCAATTCAAATATTCCACAATAACATTATTATTTTACAAAAATTTTCTTCAGTCTTATCGTTTTAAAAATGGATCAACAAAACGGAGTTTCCAGGTTAGATTTTTCTATTCTATTTTATATTTACTTATCTGTATTTCTCTCTTTTAACCTTTTTTTTTTTTGCAAAATCTATAAATTATCTAGAAGAGAACAATCACTTTCTCCAAGAAGTGCTGGTTATCGTGAAATGTCTTCGTCTCCAAAAAGAAGAAGAAGCCCATCTCCCAGACACAATCGCACCAGTGGAAGAGAAGATAGATACAGGGATGATCGTTATACCAGAGATAGTAGATATAGCCGTGATAATCGTGATAGTCGTGATAGTCGTGGTTATTATGGTAGAAGTAGTTATCGTGACGATAGAGGATATCGAGATTACCCATACCCTTATGAAAGAAGAGCTCCCCCAAGAAGAACCAAACCAATTGACCGGTAGATATTCAACTTATCTTGAAATTATATCAATAATATTTAATTATTATTAATATTAAAATAATTAATAATATTATTTTTGTTATTATCATCATCATATCAATCAATCTGTTACTAATAAAAATCAGTGGCTCTGATAAAGAAAGAAGTGATACAACGACACTTTATGTTGGTAATATTCCATATACTTTTCGTGAGCATGACGTCGCAGATATGTTTGAAAGATACGGGCGATTGAGAAAAGTAACTGTTCAACTGGATAATTACACTGGAAGAAATAAAGGGTAATTGTTAAAGTTTTTTATCTGAAATCGAAAACCTTAACTAACTGACATCGTTAATATTTGTATTTATTCATAAATATTCGATTTGGTCTTTAGGTTTGCATTCGTAGAATTCGAGGATAGGAAAGATGCAGAAGATGCATATGATAAATATCATGGTGCTAACATTGAAGGTCGTAGATTAAAGCTAGATTGGGATATTGGATTGTCAAGAAAAGATCAACATCGTAAAGAAAAGCCCGGTTATGCAGAGCATGGGTAAGATTTTTTTTTCTTTTTTGAGAATAAAATTTATACAATTTGTGATTAATAATATTCATTATTTTATTTAAAATGAAAAAAATCTAGTCGCCCACCTTATGATTCATGTATGTATATTATATAATGTTTTGAACAATTAACAATTACAGTTCATTATTAAAATTTTATTATTTTTATTGTTATATTTATAGATGATCGTGGAGCTTCGCCACCCGAAGTGAGAGAATTAAGTCCAAATTATAGATCTGGTGCTCGTTCACCAAGTCCTTATTCCCGTCAATATTAATTAATGGATGTTAGGTTTTTACTATTATGATATTGTTATTGAAGGAACGCTTATTATTATTATTTTGTAAAAAATATACTTATATATATATATATTGATCATGATATTTTTTTTTTGAAAAATGCTAGAAAAACTTTTTATTTTATTTGGAAATATTAATGGATGAATTAATAATGTAAAAGAAAACTCCTAGATGTTGAAACTATCAGCAAGTCATTCAACAAAATTAATATACATATATACTTTCATATAAATATTTATTCTCTTAATTTGTTGAGATTAGAAGACTGATTGATTGGTTGATTTCATCAGCATTTCAATATATATATTAAAAAAAGTTTTCTTTGAAAAAAAAAGTGGATTGGTTGATTTTAAACAACTAAAAAAAAAGTTATTATGAATCGATCTATTATTTTTGGATGACTTATTATTATTTGTTGACTTCTTGATGATGATGATGATTAATGATGATGAAATTATTCATTGACGAGTTGATTATTTTTATTTGTTGATTGATGAGCTGACTTGTTGGATGATAAATTTATTTGTAATAGAAAAAAGTTGATTTGCAGTACATAGAAAAGTTGATCTTTGAGGTGTCGGTGAATTTTTTGGATTAAAAAGTGCGAGAAAGAGATTAAAAGCGGACAAAATGAGTAAAATACAAGGTCTGATCTGTTTTGTCTTGATTTGCAACTTTTATTCTAATCTCTTCGTTGATTTATACTTAATCCACTATTATATAATATTATGTTTGGAGTCGTAAAAGAAAAAGATAAAGATGAGTGATAAATTGAAATGAGAATATTATCAAGTTAATTAAGAGAATTAGTGCGAGTATAATTACAATTAAATAAATAGATTATACATTCTCTAGATTTATAGAGCAGGTTTATCACTGTATTGTTGTATAAAGCTAACATCATACACAATACATCATTATGTTAACATGAGCAGACTGCAACAAAACCTACATCAAAGATTTCAAGGATCGAAAATTGTTTAAAACCACAATAATAATACTACGACATATGAATTATTTTTTGTCTCTTGTTCCACAATCATAATTTTTTAATTGTTCAACACCCCCCTATATAGTACAAGTAGAATAATCAATCAAAACTATAAATTCGTGCCGAGCTTATCCTTCCTTCACTTGGCCTTGACTTTGTTGTTCAGGCTTTTTGAATAATATTTTGTTGTTTTATCAGTTCAAATTTTTGTTTACTAATTCTTTATTTTATCTGGTCCCTGAATATTATTTTCACTTTATATGTTTTCTTAAATGCTTGTTCTTCTCTTTTTTTTTTTAGTTCATTTTCATAATCGTTCTAATCTTTTATTTTTCTCTATCTCCTTATTTTGTTGATTCATTGATGCTGCATCTCGTTGTTTTTATTATTTATATCTAGTTGTGATTTTTTTGCTTTTTTCTTCTCGTTGACATTTTTGTTGCTGGTAATTTAGAGCTAATATTAATCTTCGTTTTATCAAGAAGATTGTTTTAAACAGTTTGCTGTTTTATCATTAGCCTTTTGCAATTTATCAATAATATTTCACGTTCTCCTCTTTAAGGTGGTTATTTCTTGGTTCTTTTTTCATCTAATTCAATTCCTCGATTCTTTCAATAAAATCTAAATGAGTTTGATTTACATATCTAATTCATGAACTTTATTTTTCTAAACTAACTATGGCTCTCGGAACTCTATTTTTTTTTTGTAATCTTTGTATCTTCATTCATTTGCAAAAATTGTTGTTATGATTTAGTATAAATAAATTGGAAGAAATTATCTGTTTTAAATGCACATTACTACTATCCCTTATAATTAGTTCCAAAAAAATGCATTCATGAAAATATAACAGCAAAGGAACAAAAAAGCAAATTGATTAGGAGTGAAGGTAGTACTTCTCAAGAAAAAATTCCTGCATTAACCCCAATCTATGCGAATCTGATAACTTTTCAGTTTTGTATGTAGAAGTAGTAATAAATTTGATAATCCATTTCCTTATTAAATAACTCAGTGTTTTGCTGTATATCAAAAATTGGTCAGACCCGGACACTTTACTGACACCCACTTTACCAACAAGACACTTTACCGACAACACACAACGTGATATTTTAGCATTTTGTTAGTTTGTAGAGATTAAATGTAACCCCGTGTGTTGTCGGTAAAGTGTCTTGTCGGTAAAGTGGGTGTCGGTAGGACCCCACATTTGAAAAAATACCCACTTTATTACCATTTTTGGAAATAATTTACAAGATCATCACAAAATTCATCCTAATTAAGAAATGATATTCGATTTTGAGGGCCATTTCTACCCAAAATTGAAATGTACCATCTCCTAAGATTGTTCGGGATCAGTAAAGTGTCCCAGATCCAAAATTGGTAATAAGTCCTCTTCTAAGGCTTGATTTTGGTTAATTTTTTTAATATTTTTAAGGCAAATGTCTGGAAATTCTCCATTCTCAATAAGTTTTTTGTTTTGGGATAATGATAAATCTTTTTAATTTTTCTTTCAAAAATGCTAACAAATCCACAAGCAAAAAGAAAAACTGAGCACAAAGAATACTATGAGCAAACATCATCAAGAGAGTATGTTTTAAAGTGGTTGTTGCACAGAGCCATTGCTGCTAATAGAGGATTATAAGAGAGTGGTAAATAAAGTCCTCACAAAATCTGTAAGAACAAGAATGGGTTTTTAAATTTTTCAAATGAATTTTTTATTAATTTATTACTTATAAAGTACCTTTAGCTTTAATAAGAAATATCATTAACATTTTTTACTTAAAACAGTTAGTTAAAAAAAGAAATTATGTGTAGAAATCTTTAATTCATTCTATTGTTTTTTTGTAAGCAAATTTAAATACATGAAGTAATTTTGTTTCAAAACCACACCAATGCCTTTAAAAGAATATAAATAAAAATATATGCATTAGTTCTTATACAATGAAAATATATTTCCTATTATTTATGTGCTTATTATATATCAATGTTCTTTTAAAACCATTCTTAACATATTCTTTTTTTAAAAATTTTTTTTGGTTAATATATTTTCAATTATCATACACTTTCTTTCTTTAATGCTTGGTCTCAACCTATTAAGAAAAATATTTCAATATTGAGAAAACGGGTTACATAATCATATATATCAAAACAATAAAATTCTATACCCAAGGTTTTTTTGTTGGTATAGGAATTTCATCAATTATATCATGATTATACATGAAGTCGAAATTAAAACCCCAAAGTCAAAATGTTTCAACTTGAGGCAACTACATAGTAAAAATCAGTTTCAACCTTATTTCAACCCTATTTTGACCAGATCTGCAAATGGTCAAAATAGTTTCAACTTCATGTATAATCATGATCAGTTACATGTTTCAGAGTTAACACTGCACTTTTTTGATGTTTCCTGTTATTATGAGCATAAGTAATAGCTGCTGAAAATATTTTTTAATGACTTCCTAAAATAAAAAAATAGTATATTAGCTGTAAGCAATACAATATGTAAGAGAGAAAAAAAAAACTCACTTTTACAAAAAGGAATGTTCTGCAAGCATTGCTTATATCTAACAAACTGCTTATAGTAAATTTAGGTAAGGTGAAACTTGCTACCTCGTCTGAAATCCATACCCCGTCACCAAGATAAATACAACATATACCCTTATAGTATAACCTACAATACAAATGCCAATAAGTGATATTTTATTGACTATTAATTGTAAATTAGCATCCATTGAATCACCAGCTGCCAAATTTACAACTTGCAGAAGAGCTGAATTTTGATCACGAGCTACTTTTATTACTCTTAAAAAATCTGTTGTGGATTTGTCATAATGATCTTTTGTATCAGGACCTGAATTTTCCACATTTCCAAATTCACACCCTTGTTTTGTATCATCATTATTTAAACTAAAAAAAACAAGAGCTCATAAATACATAAATAAATATAGTCAAAAATGGCTAATTTCTTTAAAATTTACACCAAAAATATAATCACTGTGTTGTTCAACCCTTCCAAATTTCTTTTGATATGCTACAGAAGCAGAAGGTATTAAATCAACACTACAAATACATAGTTAATAAAGATCATTGTACAAACTGTAGTAATTTTCAAAGATTAACTTACTAATGATATTCAGCTTCTATATGTATAATTTCCATAAATGGTCTCACAAAATGAATATTACCACAATTTCTTTCACCAGCTGGTGGTAAGCCTAATTTTATGTTTTTTATGCTTTTTTAGCAATAAATCTGTTAGTACTGTCATTATATTATGGAAGATCAAAATTTTAAAGTTTTAATATCATAAGTACCACTCATCTATGACCTGAAAAATACATTTTATCATTCATGTATTGGCTAAATTTATGGAATCATTAAAATCTATTTGTTTTTCCAATCCTATTCTATTGTTTTGTTTCATGAGCAAATCAGTCAAACATTCTCTCTTTTCTGGTAACCAAGTGAAAATTTTCAATAATGTTAATTTTATTCCATCTACTGCCCAATTTTCACCAATTTCAAGTATTTGTTTGGTACTCAGCTGCATAAATATCATAAATATCAGTTAAGACTGATTAATAAATAATTAGAATAAACAAAATATAATAACATTATACATGCCTGTCTATTATAATTAGTGATGTTGACCATTTAAAAATCCTTAGCCGGCTAAACTGTTTACTACCTAAATTGATAATTTTATTTCTATAACAAGAAAGTAATGCAGAAATCTATTACCAAATTTAGGCAGATTATTTATTAGCCGGCTAACATCACTAATTATAACAAGTAAATGTTCACCAATTGGACAAGAAATTTTTGAAACACATTCCTTAAGTAGGTCAAAAGGTTGAGTTATTGTCTCTATTTGTTTATCAGTAAAATTTCCATAAACTTGACCACCATTTAAACTGTAACCAACAAATGTGGGCCTTACATCTAATATCTGCCAGACTGGACTATAAAGAGTGTTAAGATATTGCACATACACACCTGTAATTACTGACTGATCATACTTACTACAGATAATCTTGTGGCATAGATTGATAGTTTTTAATTAATTCAATTGCTGGTTTCATTGTTTTCATCGGGTAAAATTTTGGATTCTTCATCCAAAGTTTCCTGATCAGTTTCAAGCCCATCTTCAGGAGGCTTTGAACCTGAAAGGGAAATTCAAATATGAATGTATCTTATCATTAATTCAAATAAATTATAATACTTACTACTACTATCATTACATCTGGAAAATATAAAAAAAATTTGCATCATAAGTTTAATAATAAAAAAGTGTAAAACTTACATCAGCGCCATAAGATTTATGCAATATTATATCAGCATTGTAAGATTTATGCAAGTTTACACTAAATTAATTTCCTGATGACTAGATTTGTTATTTTCCTTGCTTAGTAAATAAAAAAACAAGGTTTATAAATTAGTATTAATTGCAAATGTTTTTTTTTTAACTAGAACTAAAATGACAATTCTTTTAAAATAATAATACTTACCCAAAATATGCATCAATATTTTTTTGCTTGTTTTTGTTTTTGAATTGTTTTTGCATGCATCAGGAAATTAAATGGGCATAAGTGTTTTTTTGCATAATAACTAAAATGATGGTTGCAACCATTGCCATCATCCTTATAAAAAAAAAATTAACAACTAATAAATAACACTTATTGGGTAGTTTCTCCCCAAATTTTTCCTTTTTTATTTTATCAACTTTGAGATGGTTTGGCTTTTTTTTTTAATTTTAAAGAAAAAATAAATTGCAATTTAATATAGGAAAATATTATATACAGAAAGGTTCTTTTTATGGAATATACAGAACCCTGCCAAAAATAGCAATTCATTCTATAAAAAAGGAAACTAAATTGTAGCTCAAAATTTTTGTAAAACCAATGTGACATCTATCACAGACGTGATGATTAAATTGTGGGCTGGGGGAATTACGTAGTGTTTACCAACTCTAAGAATTGATCCTTATTTGTCATATAGGTCCTGTATATTTCATAAAAAGAACCTTTCTGTATATAATAATATAATATTACCCTTTAATATATTATTGTTATGTGTGTATGTGTTGTACAAATAAATCACATTATTATTTTTTTTGTTTGACACAATTGAATTTCATTTCTATTGATAGCAAGAGGTATACAATTTTTTTTATTTTTGTTGGTATAGATATATATATTTTTTATTATTGAAATCAAAATGTGGAGCAGAACTTGTTGTCTTTTAGGTATTATTAAGATTCTTTATCATGATAATAAATAGACAATTATTATTGTTTTGCTTTTCATGTAATCACTAATATTAATATTAAATAATAATAAATAGTTATAAGAAGATGTCAAGGCAACATGGCTGATTGTTGCAAAAGAAACATTTCAATATCAAACAATTTAAAATATAACATTTGATTATAGAAAATTGGCAGACATTAAAGCATGTATGCCACATCATATCCACCGATTTGCGCAACCTAATGGGGTACAAAATTTTGAAACAACAAAAATTTAGGGTTCTTGTCGATCGTCACCAAATGTAAAATTATTATTAATAATTAACGCAAAAATTCACAGTAGGTAAGAGAAAGGAAAAGAAGAAGAGTCTTAGTGAATATCTTTTTACATTTTGGGAAAAGATCCTATAAATTTTTAATTAAGACTATAACCTATTTTATTCTATAATGAACTTTTATTAATTAAGAAATTACTCAATTCTATATATTATCAGATGTTTTCCCGAACAGGTACTTTAATTATTACAAGTTAATTTTTATTGCTTATATAATAAAAATATAATAATCTTAATGTTATATAATATGAAGTATAATAAAAATAATAAATTGATTATCTGAATAAATTAATAATACATAAATAAGTCAGTCACGCGATAAGTCAGTTTTGGCCTAACTTGGCCAAAATTTTCTGCCCTTTTTTTTACTATTTAAAAAAATTCGATAATTAAATCTATGAAAATGATCTGAAATAAAATACATCAATCTATCCTTTGTCTTGAATAAAGATAACAATTTTAAATCCATGAAAATTATCTGAAATAAAATACATCAATCTATCCTTTGTCTTGAATAAAGATAACAATTTTAAATCCATGAAAATTATTAGATCTAATTTGAAATAAAATAAAATACAATCAATTTCTAACCTTTTGTCTCGAATAAAAATAACAATTTTAAATCTGAAAATTATCTGGAATAAAATACATCAATTTCTATCCTTTGTCTCAAATAAAGATTAGAAGAAAACAAAACACTTCTTTGAAAGATAAATCAATTCTTTTTTTAATTCTTAATTAGTAGATGTAAGGAAATTATAAATAAATAATCATAATGAGTATTTGCTATATAATAAACCAATGCAATAATAAAATTTGCAAAAAAGTATTTTTAAAAAAAATGACTTCTTCATCTTCAAATGCATCAAGCTCTGATTTTGAAACACATAATTATCCTTCGAATAAAAAAATAACATATAAAACCCCTAATAATTCATTCATTTATAATATTATTAATGAAGGTATTTATCCTGATGTTCCAAAATATACTCAGGCCAATTCTAATGGTTGTAAGTACCCTATACCTGATGAGTACTTAGTCGAAACTGAATTTGGAAAAAAGAAGCATATACTCAGATGTTCTACTAAATACTATGACAATAGGCCTGTATATTATTTGAATTGGAATAGTGAAAATGAAAATCGCCAAGTAACATCAGAAAAATCAGCAACAGATGCCACTCAAAAATATTTGAAGGTATTTCAATAAAATTCCCATTTATACATGAGATGGTAATTACCTAATTGCCATAAATACGTAATTCGTAATAACATAATTAATTACCACTTTCACTCTTTAAAAACATAATAACGTAATTAATTACCACTTTCACTCTTTAAAAACGTAATTATGTAATTAATTATGGACAACGAATTAATTCCTATTTGTCATTCGTAATTAATTTCATTGTTACGCATAATTAATTTCGTAATAGTAAATAATTTCGTATTACGTTTTTGCAAAAAAATTACTGTCCCATGTATATTTCCATTCCTTTTGTTTATAAATATGTAATTTTAAAAGTGATTTAACATATTATTTATTATTTATTACAATAGGAAATTGATAAAAAAACTACTAGAATGTCTGGAGTTTTGTTATTCGGGTTTCAGCTTCAATGTGTACATAATCGACGCATTAATAAACAAAAACGCAACACAATTATTCCCTTTGAAGAAGCAAAAGATTCTACACATAGAAGTCGTTTAAAAGTCTTTGGAAAAAATATATTAGATGATTTTAATGAATCATCAGATAATATTTTAAATTCCAATTCAAGTGAACTTATTGGAATTACATTAAAAATTAATGATCAATTATATTATCTTTGCTTTAAAGAAGATGAAGATGGAAAGAAATTATATGCTGAAGCAGTGGTTCAACAACTTGATCAACATAATATATCACAAAGTGGATATCGTAGTCTAACAAAACTTGATCCTAATTTACCACGAGAAAATATAACATCAAATGTAAAAAAAGAAATTACAAACCTGATGAATGCTGAAATTCCCATAAATACAATTAATATTTATTCACAAGATGTTGATGAAGGTGAAAATGAAAATGAAGAGGATGAAATAGAAGAACATGATAATTTAGACATTGAACTTGAAAATGAAATTATAAATGCTCAAGGTGAAGGTGGATATCGCAGTATAAAGAAAATTTTAACATTTGTAATTAAAATGCTAATTAATCAAAAAGTACTTGATTATACTTTGGATGATAATGTTCATATTAGAATATCTGGAGATGGAAGAAATGTTGGTAAAAAAATCAAACATGTCATGATTACATTTGCAATTATGAATAATAAAAATGCTATTTTTCTACCAGATCATCATTATAGCTTAGTACTATATTCTGGTATTGAAAAATATGAATATTTGCAAAAAGCTTTACACCGACTTATAGAAGAGCTTGATGATATTGACAAGAATGGATTTATTGATTCAATTGGGCAAAAATGGAGAATAACTATAT